TAGTGCCATAGAGAAGAGGGAGAAGGAAAGTTTTGCTTAAGGATTCAGTGCATAGGTCAGGGGTTCAGGTCACTCAGATGTTTTAATAATGAGCTGGCAGACAGACCCAGGCTTGTGTTTCCCTAGACTGTATTTGCCATAGACTTTGAGTCTCCAGCAACTGGGAGTGGAAATCCATCAGTAAGAACTGTTACATTTTGCCCAAGGTTCCAAGTGACCCTTGAAGAAGGTCGTTGGATTCTTGTCTTTAAAAGATCTATTGTTCAAAACAAGGGAAAAAGCTAAGTTCCCTTGGCAAAAAAAAAGAAAAATAAAACCTGACTCCAAATTGCCTAAGCATTGGAAACTAAATGGAATGTCTATGGTTTATGACCCAAAGAACTATAGTACATTTTAGATGGAATTTAATATGAAAATCAATTTTTTTTTCTTTTACAATCTTACTCAAGGAACTGCATTAGAAATATTATCTGTGAGAAAAATGTAAGATAATACAATATCTCAAAATCTCTTAAAGATAATGTGCTTCTGGTTATTTATTCTGGACCAATGGTTTGTAACTGTTTTTTAACAATATGGAAAAAAATTTCTACATTTATCATGATTATTAATTTACTAGAGGCCTGGTGCACAAAAATTTGTGCACTTGGGGGGGAGGGGGTTCCCCTCAGCCTGGCCTGTGCCCTCTTGCAGTCTGGGACCCCTGGGGGGATGACCACTTGCTGGGTTAGGCCTGGTCCCCGGAGGATTGGGCCTAAGCTGGCAGTCAGACAGCCCTCTGGCAGCCCGGGAGTCCTCGGAGGATGTCCACTTGACAGCGGGGAGCAAGCCTAAGCTATAATTGGACATCCTTAGCGCTGCAGAGGAGGCAGGAGAGGCTCCCACCACCACCGATGTACTGGCAGCCATCAGCCTGGCTTGTGGCTGAGCAGAGTTCCCCCTGTGGGAGCACATTGACCACCAGGGGGCAGCTCCAACTAGTGTCTGCCCCCTAGTGGTCAGTGTGTGTCATAGTGACCAGTCATTCCCAGTCGTTCTGCTGTTAGGGTCAGTTTGCATATTACCCTTTTATTATATAGGACAGATGCCTGGTTCATGGGTGGGGGCCGGCTGGTTTTGCCCTGAAGGGTGTCCTGGATCAGGGTGGGGGTCCTGCTGTGGTGCCGGGCCAGGCTGGGTGAGGGGCTGATGGCTGGTTGCAGCTGGTCACACCCCCTTCAGGGTGGGGTTCCCCACTGGGGTGCCAGGTTGAAATGAGAAAGTCCGTTGCTGAGCAGAGTTCCCCCTGTGGGAGCACATTGACCACCAGGGGGCAGCTCCAACTAGTGTCTGCCCCCTAGTGGTCAGTGTGTGTCATAGTGTCCAGTCATTCCCAGTCGTTCTGCTGTTAGGGTCAGTTTGCATATTACCCTTTTATTATATAGGACAGATGCCTGGTTCATGGGTGGGGGCCGGCTGGTTTTGCCCTGAAGGGTGTCCTGGATCAGGGTGGGGGTCCTGCTGGGGTGCCTGGCCAGGCTGGGTGAGGGGCTGATGGCTGTTTGCAGCTGGTCACACCCCCTTCAGGGTGGGGTTCCCCACTGGGGTGCCAGGTTGAAATGAGAAAGTCCTACTTTAGTGTTATACTGTTGTAATGTGACCCGTGAATCACACAAGGATGCCTCAAGAGGTCAGATTAAAGAGTTACATTTATTGCAAATCTGGGACTATGAGGGGGCATTTTGCTCTTCCAAATGTCATAGTGCTAAGATGGCCACAACACCAGATTTATACAGGCAAAAATCACAAAGGTGTTGATTACATCCCAGGGTTTGGAATGAGGAACCTGGTTAGCAAAAAAGCAGTTTACAGAAAGCAGAAGCAACATGGTATCTAAATTATAGTTTTGGGTCTCCGGATCACTGAATTGACAGAAACACATTATCTAGAGCCCTCGTGTCTGGAATGAGGAACCTGGTTTGCTCCGGAACACTGAGTCAACAGGGACACGTTAACTGGAGCCCTCTGATCTTGGGATAATTGTGCTATCCTTCCCAGGTAAAGGAAAATGTGCTTTCTAAGACCAGTATGACCACAACCAATATATTCACACCACAATCAATAGGGTATTTAATCTAATGGGGTGATTTATATAATTCAGAAAATCAAAATAATTTTTCTATTATTTTAGCAAGCAAATAAGTACAGAAACCAAACAGCAGGGTTAGAGTTTAGAGTTAAACTACAGTTTCTACCTGAGATGATTGCTACCATACTTCAATATAAATAACTTTAGATTACCTAGTACCTCTACAAGCATACATTGAAATATATGTGCTTAGCACTTAGCATGATACTCTCCAGGTCCCTCCATGCTACCTCAAAGGGTAAGAGATTGTTCTTTTTTACGGCTTCACAGTATTCCATGGTATAAATGTACCACAGCTTTTTTAGCCACTCATCTACTGATGGGCACTTAAGCCCAAGGTGCTTTGTAAATACCAGGGAGAGGCACTTGGTAAGTCCTGAGGCTTCACAGGATGCTTCCTGACCAAGATCATGTGCCATTAGTAGGTGAGGCCCAGGACAATGGTAGAGGTTTGGGTGGTGAATGGAGTAGGAGAGCTGTGTAAACAGATAGACAGCACGGGAAAAGGCTCAGAAATAGTGTAACAGGACAACCAAAGGGTCTGGGCTGCCTGTCACTAACTGAG